AAACCATGTATATGTCTAAATCGGTACATATTGATTTCTCCTTGTAGTTGGTATGTCATTTTGAAAGAAAAAGTACAACGAGAACTATTACATCAGTTTAAATGATATTTCAGTTCTCCCTTGTACTTAAAGTTGTAATGCTTTTGTGATTTGAATTACAGAGTAAACCTTTCCTGTTAAATTTATTGTATGATTAAGTCGATATCTCCATTTGTGTAGACTTTTTGGTGTATATTTAGTTAATACCCATTCCCCGCCTGTTTACTGTGATTCGGTACCTTTCTATACCTCAGAGACTCGATACACTCGTTAACACTTTGTTGATTAAGTATCAGACTACGCAGATTACTGTTAAATAGTGAGGATTAACTTAAACCGTCTCGGACATTCTGTGGCAATGCTAACACGTTAGTGCCTAGTGCCTGGAAGCAGTATATGGGTAACGCATGTACAGGTACATCTAGGTATGTGTTTGTACACTTGTCACAGCACACATTCGTACGTAGCACAGATTTCTTTGTGTATGCAAAAACATGCATTGTATTTTCATAAATAAATATGATATTTAAATTTGAGTAATTACAGAAATAGTTTTTAAATGAGATAGAAAAAATATTGAATTTCACGTCTGAGCATTTATTAGAAAGCATAGCAACAAGTATACACACGAGTGCTTCGGTACGTGTATACATGCTATTCAGGGTATATATATATATATATATACCGTGTGTTTTACCGACATAACACTGGAAATTTGATCCACTAAACGGCATGGATCATTAGACACTTCTTTGTACGTACTTTAACGTAATGTATTCAGTAGAAATGTGATTCTCCGGCTCTGATTGAAAACAGTGTCAACAAGACTGGTTTGGAGATTTTAGTGTTGACTAGGGGTAAAGTCAGTACCCTGCAGCTGTGGATGTTTTACTGGTAGTATCATGGCGTTGTGAAGTTACCATACTCAACGCTAATTAAGGTGAGTGTTGTAAACATAGCTTTATTTCTAGTATGTTATTGTATCAATACACACAGGAACTTACTAAGGTTTCTATTTTGTATCCAGCTTGTTCGCGGTTTATGAATTTATCGGTATACATATTTGTTATATATTTATCATACTAAGTAGAAATACTTCTATTGTTACTATGACTACATAATAATTATAAGATATTAAGGAATTAAGTGACAATTCTGTTGGTAGGTGTACTGACATACATGTGGCAATCATACATATATCATTTTTTACTTCATTAGTAGTATGTTAATATATACTGTACACTGCCGGTGTTTGATATGATGACAAGTACTGGAAGTATATTTGATTCGCTTCAATGTTGGTTTTGGTAAAGTGTGATGACAGGTGCCATTTGTGGTACTGGGAATATCTAACTTCCGCTTCACATTTTGTTTTGGTGTGATGACAGGTGCCATTTGTGGTACTGGGAATATCTAACTTCCGCTTCACCTTTTGTTTTGGTGTGATGACAGGTGCCACTTGTGGTACTGGGAATATCTAACTTCCGCTTCACATTTTGTTTTGGTGTGATGACAGGTGCCACTTGTGGTACTGGGAATATCTAACTTCCGCTTCACATTTTGTTTTGGTGTGATGACAGGTGCCACTTGTGGTACTGGGAATATCTAACTTCCGCTTCACATTTTGTTTTGGTGTGATGACAGGTGCCACTTGTGGTACTGGGAATATCTAACTTCCGCTTCACATTTTGTTTTGGTGTGATGACTGGTGCCACTTGTGGTACTGGGAGTTCCGCGTCAATTTTGGGAGGAATATTGTCTGTTCCGAAGGCCTGTTGCTACGTTTATGTTACATTCTCGATATATTGTCTGTTGAAGATGTGATTATCTTAAGTTTCTACAGCTTGTTTTAATTTTATTTGTCTTTATACTTCATGTTGCATTGATTTTACTAGAAACCGTCAGCGGTATATAACAATCTGATCTGTGATATATCTCGTTACTGTCAAGTGCTCTTTGAATACCGTAGTCAGATATAAACATCGTTCATCCCAAGATCCCAGTACTGACACCTATATCGTAAGGCTGTTAAACAAATGCGTGACATGAAAATGGTCATATCTGTGAAGCTATTTATTTAATATTTAATACCAACCTCTCATTTTTTCTTTCCAATAACACAAGCATGTTTTCAAACGTAAGCAATCATATGAGAGAAAGTTTCTTTTTCTGTTTTACTGATAGTGTGCCAGGTGGACACAAAATCTATCTCAGATTTGAGATAAACAGTAAAGCCAGAACGGTCAGTGCTGTTTAAAGTGGTTAATGGAGGTTAGGATAGATATGATATAATCAGATCTCAGAATTAATCATGTATCACACATCGTACCTGTGACTACATATCTCTGTCTAGTTCTGTCAGATAACACTAGATTGGATAATCAGTGATATAGCGGCTTGTTCATAAAATGTCGATCATACAAGATCCTTCTTATAAGCTCACACGGTGCTCAGTACTAGTATGTGATCTTGTGTTTACTTATACACAATTGTCCAGTTCACTAGTTTGATATTTTATTGTTTCACAACCATGAGCGAAACGTTTTCCAAGTGTGTTAAATCTGTTTTGAGCGGAATAGTCATTACGCACGGATGAAAACACAGGAAACAGCCTAAAAATATCGGATATTGTATCAATTATCAAATTGTAAAAGGGTACATAATCCTTTAATCTTATTTTGTTGGTTTTGTGTGAAAGCCCTTATCAACATTGTAACGTCAAACAATTATCGATATTACAGCCCACCAACTAGCCAACAAGCAGATTATCGACTAGCTCGGGTATCTAAAGGGGTGTCATATAATACAGCGATCCATACTCCACGTTGTAGTGTAGGGAAGTGATTGTGGAAGTAATTACACCGTGTTTATTGTTACATTTGATTTTCTACTGGCATCTGATTAAAATGTTATTTACACAAGCTTTTAGCAAAGCTTAATCAATTAAATACATCAAACAGGTGCTGTAGCTATATTTTCGTGTTAAAGTGATAACGTATTTATTCAATATCTAATTCATTCATGTTCTTCAGTTCTTTCCTTTGACATAAGCACAATGAATTATTAATTTATAAAACTATGGGATTCATTATTATCTGAAAAAATAAGTCCATCAACAGAAGGCATAAATAAACATTCGCTTTGATCGATAAAACAAAACTTTTTTTAAAACAAAGTTAAAATGATTTCGTTACAGAATATACTAATACTTTTAATGAAATAACTGGCAAGATAGGGACAGTCGAGATGAACGATTATTTACAATGTCTATAAATAGTCTTAGACTAAAGAATCTAATATTAAAGTATCGTTACAATGGAAATGAGATGAGAAAGTAAATGAAAGGACTAGTGTATTGCGCTTATTTGTGTATTTCATTTGATCTATTTTTTCTTATAAAAACATTATTTTTCATTTTATCAGTTTTTTTCTGGTTTGAAATTTCAATCCTTATAATGACGGCAGTATGAATTTCCTTCCATTTAAAAGCTCACTTCCATATAGACAACAACTTAAACTATACTTTACACCTACTCGAGGACACATTTAAAGTAGCCTGGCTCTGTTTACCGAGCGTGTGTCGGTAATCTAAACTCTAACATTGGAAAGGTGATACCTTTTTATAGAATGCTTACTGACAGATAGGACTAAGTATTAGATTGCATGACTAACGACCTCTCTGCATTGATGTCGTCATGGTAGCCATTTTATAGTGTTGGCTGTCTGTCTGTGTTGTTTTCCCTTGTGTTTTGGTGTAATTACGACATTTATTTCTTTGTGTTGTTCGACAGTTTGTGTTGTCTTCCCTTGCGTTTTGGTTCATAATGGGACATTCCTTTGGCTTGTTTTGAAACGTTTGTCATTGATGGTGTGTCGTGAAACATTTGTCATTGATGTTGTGTCGTGAAACGTTTGTAATTGATGGTGTGTCGTGAAACGTTTGTCATTGATGTAGTGTCGTGAAATATTTGTCATTGATGGAGTGTCGTGAAATATTTGTCACTGATGGTGTGTCGTGAAACATTTGTCACTGATGGTGTGTCGTGAAACATTTGTTACCGACTGATATCCAGTATCGAGATAAATACGAGACATTATTACATACTCTACTGATTTCTATAATAAATTACATTTATGTATAAGTCTGTGAATGGTAGTTTGTCAATGTCACACAAAGCAACTATGACTGGAGATTATCCGGCTATAAAATTATGAAACATCATATTTCATACCTGAATGGCAGTTTCTAAATCATTGAATGTGGTATAAAGAGGGACAGACATGGTGTACGCCTACATTGTAACCCTGTATAATTCAGTCAGAATCAACCTTGATCGATAAAGATTTATACAAGTATTCGATAATATCAATCGGTTCTCCATTACAAATTAACCGCATGGATTCGTCTCAAATCAAAAATTGTAAATCGGTGAAATTCAATTACCATCAGAGCGGTGTTTAATCTGTGAGAATGTCCTCTGTGTGTTGACAGAATGACTTATATCACAGGCTTGTCGCTAAAATTTATACACTAACGCATTGTAGCTATAGAAGTACTTAGCTATTCGTAAAGACATTTTAAATATAGATTGTACACATTTACATCCAGGCTTAATTCCGTTTGTGGATTTAAATGTCTATTGAAGATTTTTAAAAGGTAGAATTATGCTTCAAACATCCACAGCATGAAATCGTCTAACTTGTTTAACGTTTTAGAATTGATTTTACAATTTTAGCCTTTTCCCACTTCTGGTGCTGAATATAAGTTTCTATATTTTTAAAGTTGTATATAGTCATCAAATCTTTTGATTAAGGCACTTGAGCTATATGAACAGCTTCAACCTTTTTTTTAATAATAACATGCTAACTTGATATTTATGCCTGATGTGTTTTTTTCAGAACATTATCTCATGTCAAAGTCAGTCAGTTTCGCGATAGGATGAAAAATGGTGTAAGGGAAAATGCCAGGTTTTGAATCCAATTCGAGGGAGGGTCGGCCTAAAACAAGCCCTGCCTACAATAGATCTACCAACCAGTCAAGGGCGACTTCCTCGCGACCGTACTCCCGTGGGACTTCACACGGTGTCTCACATGGAACGTCAAATGACATCGAGGAGGAGGACGAGGAATATCACGTGGAACTGTTAGAGTACGAATGGCCAGATTTACCTCCACTGCCGAGACTGAAGGATGCAATTACGCGTCAAAAAGTAAGCAAAGGAATAAGTTATCTACTTCCGGTTGACAAGGGCAAAAACTCTATAAATAACCGTTACCGGACTGACCTCCGGGCCATGTTCCAGGAACCTTATGCGAATGACGATTGTGGATATGATGATAATAAAGTTAAACTCAGTGCTCAAATCCATTTTGATACCAATACAGTTAACACGAAATGGTCAAAAAGACATTTTGACTCCATCCCTATAAAACTGAATTCTGAATCTGAAAAAGCCAAAAGAGTGTATGTACGCTCGGCTCCGGCACGAGGCGGAAGACAGTCTGGTGTGGATACTGACAAAATGCGCACGCGATCTAGTTTGTTCCTTCCTATGAAAAAAGAGGAGCATCCGGAAGCGGCAAAACTCCGTGAAGAAGTTAAAGTTATTCTTCAAAGTGTTCGAACAGAAACCGAATCTGATACTGATTCGGTGGAGGGCACGAACTACCAGAGACGAAGAAGTGAAGTGTTGAGACCGAGGAGAAGTACTATTACATACCGTGATGGTGTCGCTACATCTGGGTTAAATTCTAAACAACCGCGTGTAGTATTGACTGCGGAAAACTATAAATCATACGAGGATTTAAAGAGAACTAAAACGCCAAAGAAAACCATTCCAGAACTTTTCCAATCAAAATTTTTAAGTTTAGACGAAAATCAACATATATGGGAATGGTTACATCACGGAGAGGAGATGACTGATTTCCAATTTTTCCTTTCTGTGTGTGGATAAGAGATAAGATATTTAGGTCAATTATTTCACGAGATCAATTTATATTTTACGTTATAAACAAAAAATGTTCATGCCGCTCAACATTGATTCAGTTGTATTTATATTCCAACCTTTTTCTAAAGAGGATAAGCGAAAAATTCACGACTTTAGTTGATTCCTGATCCATTTGCTTTTTAGCAAATATGGTCTGTTGAAATTAGGTGTTCCTGTGCAGGATGTTATTGACACCAGGAAAAGACAGAACAGAACGAAAATAATGTTTTTACTGTAGCCAAGACACAGTCGATATTGTCCGTTGTACAATTACTTGGCTGAGGTATGTATCCAAGCTTAACGCTGATTTCTTTCGGATGAAATAATCATTGTAACTGATTTCCCTCATGAAGAAAAGATTTTTCTAGTTTCTATTTCCGATATATTTCTCTGGAGAATAAGTCCTCAGTGAATGTCTGTGGTACCTATGAAATATCTACTGGTGGAGTAAGGTCAACATCATCCAGTATATACATAGATGGAATATTGGCACGCCCTTCATGTCTGTACAATAGAATTTCATGTGTATCTGTTAACGACATAACTATTTGTGACACAGCCTCGTTATCATACATATACATGTGTTTGACTTTGTATAGAACGGTATAGAAACTGAAAGATTTTCTCTAATTGGTGTACGATTTGGGATCATAATGATTCTTGTAAGTATCTATTAGAAAATACAGGATTTCTATCAATCGGTACACATAAATAATTGTGAAAGAAACTAAAATTATTTCTTACATATTAGTGACTTGAAAATGGCACGTTAACAATTGTAGTTGTTGATGATAACTGTTGAAATAACAATTCATTTTGTAAAGTCTGGTTGTAGTTCCTCTGTTTCTAAATGACATATAAACTAACAGTTCTTATATAGATAAAATATACGCATGTCAATATCATCTAATGCTTCCTGCGGTATTTAATGTAACACTTCAAGGTGTGCAAAACTACAAGTGCCTTCTAAGTGATATATGACAGAATCTAATCACAGGCGCGCCCTTTGTTTTCATTTTTGTTGAGCTGTCGGTGGTTTTTTAATACTCTGATTAACACTGACCGAACTGGAGGCCCATTTTAATATTTTTGGCTTACGTTTAGATCGATTTAGAAACGTTCCGCTGTATATGGCTGGTAACTATGTTCATCTGGTAAACTTTATCGAATTTTAAATTTTAGAAAACATACAGACACGAAACCATAAAATGATCATACCTTGCCCTCTAAATTTGGTTTTCAAAAAATCGGTTTATACCAGTGTTGTTTATAAAAACATATCCGGTTCATTACTAGATCATGTGTTTAGACAAACTGACCAAATTTAACCAGATAACCTGACCCAGATTTTGACCAAACAACTTGCTCTAATTTAAGAAACAACTTGACCTAATTTTAAAGACAACTATATGCGATTTTGGCCTTTTCGCTTTAAAGCAATATTATTTAAGAACTGATTACATAGTAGACTAAACAACGTTGTAACACATAGGTTCATATTATTGGAACATACATTTGTATATGGTAATTTTTTAAGATTGAAAATTTTATCACCCTAGAATAAATAATCAAAGAAAAAATCATATACGCACATTGTGTTGCATTGCCTCTATAGTTTTAAGGTGTAAACAATACGAACGGATTATTCCAAACTGGTGAATTTATTTTTGAATGAAACGAAATAGGAAGTTAATTTTATAGTGATGATTCGTTAATATCAAATTAGAAAGATTAGACGTTGGTCAACCAGTGAGTAGAACGATGAACATTTATTGTCAGGTGACGATACCAGTGCCAGATATTAGTGTGTTGTATTTCTTCATTTACATCGTATTCTTTATCTAAATGACATCTAATTAGTGATCTATTAATTACGTGTACTTGTGTATGCCTTCATCTTTATCATAGAGTTTATCTATTTGACAATTAATTAGTGTTATGTTAATTACGTGTATTTGTGTATGCCTTCATCTTTATCATATTGTTTATCTATAGAACAATTAATTAGTGTTATATTAAATACGTGTACCTGTATATGCCTTATTGATGTATCGTTATGTATTAGATTGTTACATGTAAATGATAACTATTAATTTTGCACATTTGTGATTTTAATTTTCACCTACTGATTGATGCTAGTCCAACCAATTAAATATGATATATTGAAAACATTCTGTTTTCGTTATGATTACTAACAGTTATTGTAGAGTACTGCCTGTTTTGCCCCAGGGCAAGAAAATTAACCCCAGTTACTCCGAAGTACATGTGACGGACCTCCCGTATGTTGTTCAATGAAGTATTCACCAGCTGCTACAAATATGAAACTGGTGACAAACCGAGCAAACCAACCAACCCCAAAATATTTCATTGTCACTAAGCAGGATTTACTACAGAAAGGACAAGCAGCCAGATATTCAACGAACCAATAAATAAGGATTTAATAAGACATTCTTTTAATGTCATTAATTAAATATCAACTCATTGTTACATAAAAACACGCTTTCGCTATCGACTTGTTTAAACCTGTTACTTTTTCTTTCAGACGAAAACTTTTATATGGACAAGTGTGATACACCCCCACCAGGTTTAAATTACAGTATTTAGTCGGAAATATTGATTGTTTACCTACACAGGAATGTTAATGTGGCAGGATTTAACAAATCATTTTTATTTTGTTAATCATGTGAGAAACTTCTGTAGAAGTTCCCATTCATCCTACTTGGCGGGGAACATTGAATCATTGTCATTAACGTTAATTGGGACTCACATGAAGAAACAATATCGTATAGTCAATAAGAACATCAATATTTAAACCTAAAGCACACAAAAACTATATGAACCACCTCACAATTAGCTAATAATTGTAGACTTCATAATAAGCTAGCCGTTTTTCTACACACGCTATATAATGATTAGGTGCTTTACTGTTGTTTTTGATCTAACCACACACGATCTATACTCTCCATCGTTTTAGGGTCTTCTCACTCTGATAGAAAATTGTCAGGATACTGTATGTATTCTTAATTTAGCAGAATTCTCATGCCTTTTGTCTGAGCTATACAAGTTCTCCATCCTGTCATTGGGAATCAATAATAAACACATACAGCATTTCAGTGTTGAATACAGCTTGATAATAACAGAACAATTGGTCAGTTGACTTTACATGTTTTGCAAAGCATAAATCACAATAAACACGGCTCCGTGATAAAAAAAAATCCGGAAAATTATAGAGTGTACAAAAACCGAAAAATAGTCTATTACCGTTACATCCACAGTTATCCTCCCCACAGTTTTTACGCGACAGTTATCCCCGCCACAGTCTTTACGTAACAGTTATCCTCGCCACAGTTTTTTCGCGACAGTTATCCTTGCCACAGTCTTTTCGCGACAGTTTACCTCGCCACAGTCTTTTCGCGACAGTTATACTCGCCTCGGTCTTTTCGCGACAGTTATCCTCGCCTCAATCTTTGCGCGACAGTTATCCCCACCACAGTATTTACGCGACAGCTATCCTCGCCACAGTCTTTTCGCGACAGTTTACCTCGCCACAGTCTTTTCGCGACAGTTATACTCGCCTCGGTCTTTTCGCGACAGTTATCCTCGCCTCAGTCTTTTCGCGACAGTTATCCTCTCCTCAGTCTTTGCGTAACAGGTATCCTCGCCACAGTATTTGCGTAACAGTTATCCTCGCCTCACTCTTTACGCGACAGTTATCCCCACCACAGTATTTACGCGACAGCTATCCTCGCCACAGTCTTTTCGCGACAGTTATCCTCGCCAAAGTCTTTGCGCGACAGCTATCCTCGCCACAGTCTTTTCGCGACAGTTTACCTCGCAACAGTCTTTTCGCGACAGCTATCCTCGCCACAGTCTTTTCGCGACAGTTTACCTCGTCACAGTCTTTTCGCGACAGCTATCCCCGCCACAGTCTTTTCGCGACAGTTATACTCGCCACAGTCTTTTCGCGACAGTTATCCTCGCCTCGGTCTTTTCGCGACAGTTATCCTCGCCTCGGTCTTTTCGCGACAGTTATCCTCGCCTCAATCTTTGCGCGACAGTTATCCTTGCCACAGTCTTTGCGCGACAGTTATCCTCGCCTCAATCTTTGCGCGACAGTTATCCTCGCCTCAGTCTTTACGCGAATTTCAGTTTGTAATAATTCTAACCCTTCTTAGAAGGAGTATTTATGTACACATATGGTGTAATTTTGGATGCCCTTAAGAGTGTGTGTTGGTCGATGACTACATACCGAAGTTAGAGGAGAAATACTTCACGTAATGAGTAGAAAAGCTGTCCATCCATTTCCAGCCCCATCGACCTCTTTACTTCCTTAACCCGCATAGTAAGCTTGAATATAATATAAGTGTGTTTATTTATGAAACAATGTTACACAGATTTATAAATCAATAATTACAAAACATCATGTTAATTGATAGATTGATTTAATACATGTTTTAAACATAGAATAAAAAATCAAAAGCTAAAAATAAATGAAAATGAAATTACCCAGATCACAGGTACTGGACTCTCCGACATTTACCCTCCGATGTGGGAGTCAAAAGAATGTTTACCTTGGATTATTTAGAGTAGATAAACTTAAATAAACCAGAGCGAGAACTGCATTGGTCGGCAAACATGTAATCTACAAAGTCACTGTTTATATTTGTATGCCAGTCATTTAACCCGTACACAGAAAATAAGTCACATTGGAATATACTGTTCATTTTGTTTGGCCATAAGAAAAAAGTAGCGTGCAAAATGTGAAGAAAAATATTTAGACGTATTATCTGAGATATTGTAATTCTTGAATGCCGTATAGGTAATGTAGAATATAGGTGTCTCTCAATAGACATAGAACACTAGTGATACGGTTTATCAGTACAAGCTCGAGACCATCTGTGTGATCAATTATAAAAAAAAATACAGAATTAATTTTATCTGTATCACACTATGTAACTATCGCTCTT